AAAAAACCCCAAAACAAACAAAAATACTGGACAATGTAGAGATGAATGTGGAAGCCCCAAAGTCAGGGCCTAGTTGAGAAGAGTTCAGAGGAGCCTGACTAGAGTAGACCAAAGAAGAAATCTTTGTCAAGATATAGGAATTCCAAAATTGGATATCTCCATGCAAAAATCGAAGTTGAATCCTTCTCTTACGCCATACAAAATACCAATTCCTTCCTCTTCTTGCAGGAAGATGGAGAGAAAGAACATGCAAACACCATATTTTAGAGGAAAAAGGCTTTATTTTATCCAGTGGAACTTACAACATAGAATAATCCAAAATGGCCACGTTCCCCAACTGGCTTGCTCTTTCCCTTTTTGGCTCCAGTCAAAAAGTTCCGACTCACAGGTACCTTCTCATTGGTCAGTTTGAATCAAGCAGAAGATGCTGCTCCAGCCCCCACAGAACTATAGGATTTCACAGAAGTAGAAATGTCCAGGTCCCAGGAAGTTAAGTCTATAAATTCCTAAGAGCTGAGTCACCATGGAGAGGACCCTACACGTGTATCCTTGGGGTCTTCTTGAGAAGACCTGTTTTCCTGGACCTCATCTTTCCCAGGTATCCTCTCCCCAAACCATGAAACCCCTAGAAGAAAATGTAGGAGAAAAGCTCCTGGATATTGGTTTCCAATACATTTTTAGATAAGAAACCAGGAGCACAGGAAACAAAAGCAAAAATTAATTAAGTGGAATTCCATTAAACAAAAATTTATGCAGGGCAAAACAAAAAGTAACAAAAGGAGAGCACAAACTAAAGAATGGGAAAAAATCTGTAGCTCATGCTCTAGTAAGGGGTGGATATCCAAAATATATAAGGAACTCATACAACTCAATCACAAAAAAATCTTATTAAGAAATGAAAAAAGGACCTGAACAAACATTTTTCTAAAGACATGCAAATGGCCAATAGGTATATGGAAAGATGCTCAATACCACTAATGGGGAAATGCAAATCAAAGCCACAGTAAGAGCTCACCTCTCAGCTGTCAGGACAGCTGTTGACAAAGAGTCAAGAGAAGAAAAAGGGGAGTCCTGGGGCATTGTTGGTGGGAATGTGATTGGTAGAGACATTTGGAAAACAGAATGAAATCTTCTCACAAAAATTAAAAATAGAACTACCATCTGATCTGGCAATCCCACTTCTGGATATATATATATATATCTCCAAAGGAAATGTAATCAGTGTGTAGCAGAGAATCTGTACTCTTGTGTTCCTTGTAGCACTAATCACGATGGCCACATCTGGAATCAACCTAAGGATTCATTGACAGATGAATAGACAAAGAAAATGTGAGATACACAGCAAAGCACACACAAGGGAATATCATCCAGCCTTAGAAAGAGAAGAATCCTGCCATCTGCAATGACATGGCTGAACTTTGAGGACATTATGCTGAGTGAAATCAGTCAGACACAGAAAGATGAGTAATGCATGGTCTCCCAAATTTGTAATAATGGAGAGCAAAACAGTGATTACCATGGTTACCAAGGGTTGGGGGAGGGTAGATATTGGAGAAAGTGTACAAATCTTCAGCTATTCGATAAGTGAGTATTGGAGCCCTAATGTACAGAATGGAACTATAATTAATAATTTATATTGCATAGTTGACATTGGCTAAGAGTATCTCTAGTGCTCTTACCACAAAAAATGTAATTCTGTGAGGCAATGGATATGTTCATTATCTTGATTATGGAAATCATTTAGCAGTGTAGACATGTATTATTAAAACATCATGTATGAAAAATAAAATAAAAAAATCATATGTATACACTAAAGACATAATAATTTTTGTCATTTATACTTCAATAAAATTAGAAACAAAACCCCCAAACCCTGCAACCATCTCCCACCTCAAAATTCCACATAGGAATCCCAACATGAGAGAAAAATTAAAAAGACAGAAATATTTGAAGAAACAAAGGAGATGCACTTTCCAAAATTAAAAGAAGACAAAAGAGCTCAGGTATAAAGTCTTGGCATCAACCAGCTGCAGCTGTGTGAGAAGTAGCCGCCCACTCTCAGGCACACGGCATTTACTCATCCTGCCAATAGCTGGAGTGCTCTGAGTATGTTTAGAGCAGGCAGAACTGAACGTTTTTAGTAATATCATGATGGTGTGTGTGCAGGCAATTGTGAAGAACAAAAGCATATTTGAGTGTTAGGGGCATAGGACTTGGATCTTTTGCCTAAATAACAACCACTACTACCTATTTCTCTAAATTCTAGAGCAGTATTTTTCAGCCTTTTTTTTTTAAATCTCATGGCACACTTGAACCTATAGTTAAACTTCTGTGGCACAACATTATGTTGATCAAAAAAAAAAAAGAGTTAAAAAAAAGAATATACACCTTTTGAAAATAGTTTCATTAATGATCTTTAAAAATTTTCATGGCATACCTAAGATCCTCTCACAGTATACTTATTGAAAATCAGTGGTATGAAGCCTGGAATTACTACTCCAGTTTGGTGAAGTGTGTGTATCAGTCAGCTATTGGTGCAGGTGTGCTGCATAACAACCTACCCTGACTGGATGGGGAGACCCAGGAGGCTAGAATTACCAGGTACATGTTTCTGCAGGCTGATTGCAACTTGGCTGGCCTAGGGCTTGGCTATGTGACTTTAGCTCAGGGCGACACAGCTGGCTTCATCACAGGGGAATGTAGGTCTGGCCCACATGTGTCCTGGGACCCAGATCATGTGTTCCAAACTCAGTAAGTCTATATGAAAGCATGCTCACTATAGCCAATAAGATAAATGATAAAAATCAAGTCAATCTAACATAATCATTCTCCTATCCCACCAAGGAAGAATAACTAGGTTGAAGGCAAAGACGCAGAGAGGCAAAGATTGCCACAGTACAGGGTCTCTCTGCTCAAATTCCATCACTTGGGATCCCAGCTGGTAAGTAATGCACACTCTCAGGGCTCACCCCAGGCCTTCAGATCAGCACCTGCATTTTAAGATCCCAGGCAGTTCATATGCACACCAATGTTCTGGAAGCATGGATGCAGTGCACTGGTTTTCACACCTGGCTGCTGATTGGAATCTATGGAGGGACTTTAAAAATCATCGGTTTTTCAGATTCTTTTCCCAAGACTCTAATTTTATCAATGAGCCTGGTTTGCAGGAAAAAATGTGCAGAAAAATTTGAAAATCATATATATATAATTATATATATATATATATAACTAGTGACTAGCAACTTGGGAATAAGAAAAATCTAAATTGGTGTACAGTTTTGCATCAGTTCCCCATCTAGTCTTTTATTACACAGAAATACTGATACAGTGTTCTCCCATTCAAGGCTGGACAGGTGACCCCAGTTTTCCCCAGGCCTGGGCAATTTCATGAAGGGAATGCCCTGGCCTTTTGCCCAGTGCTGGAGGGACTGCATTCATTCATTTGTCCATAACACTCATTAACATTGAAAATGTGTTTCTATTTGCCAAGTCTTGGCCAAGTGTAATTCTCAAGACCTAATACCACTAGATGAAGAGCCCACACAGAGACTGTCCACTTGGGTCTTTCCCTCTGACAGAAGCTCTGGTGCTTTTTAGTCCTTCTGTTTTCCTTTCTAATAAAATCCTATCTTACCACTGATCTGTGGACCTTGGGTTCATTCCTTGAATCCCTGAGACCAAGGACCTACTGAAGAGAGAAATTCCAGCAACAGTACAGGACTGTCCAGGAAGTATCCAGCTGTGAGTGTGAGAAATAGAGACACAGCCGGGTACTCTCTGGACAGCCCTTGCACTTGTGTGATTTCACAAAGGAACTGGAAGGGCGTTGCTTGCTACGGTACTATTCTTAATGGGTGACAATGAGAAACAGCCCAATAATCCATCAAGGGGAGAAAGTCCAGTTGTGACAAGGGCACTCACACTCGGCAGCGCTCTGCGGCCTGCCTGGCAGGTGCTTGGCCTCACATTTCTCCTGTATATTGCCCTCCTCATGCTCCAGTACTCACAATGTGGAATGAATCCCCACCTCTCCACCCTTCCAGGAGCTGCTGGGCACTGATTTGGGATTCTTATGGAAAAGCAGCATCTCTGAGAATCCAGTGGGACAATGGCCCCCTCCTCCCTCTAAGGCCCAGGCCCAGCCCCGGTGGGCTGTGTGACACTTGTCCTGGCTGCTGCCTATAGCCGTGGAGTCTAGAGGCCAGATGTTCATGGAACTGGGGTCATGACACAATGGAAGGAGACCCCTGAGGGCACCTCCACTCAAGGGCAGAGCAAGAGGCACTTGCCCACTGCCTGTGGCCCTCTGATTGCTATAGGAACCAAAAGACTAAGGCTGGCAGGTGAGAGTGCCCTCACCAAGGCAGGGCACAGGTGCTAGATTACATCACAAAGTGTGACTGTCCTGCATTGTGTGGACTCAGAAGGCCAAGCCAGACCAGAGATGAGGATATGCAGAGCCCCTGACTGGGGTGTGGGCACAAACAGGAAGTGCTGGAGCTCCTGGAGAACTGCAGTGGGAGGAGGCTCAGAGCCCACCTCCACGAAGAGGTGGAGGGTGCCAGCAGAAGCAGGCTGAGAAGCTGTTGAGGGCTGGGCCGGGGAAGCTTAGGGGCAGCGACGGTGTTCACACTCACATCTCATAGGACTGAGAAGCAGGTCACCAGGGGAGCGGTGACAGGCACAGGGGTAGGTGTAGACACATTCAGGTCCAAGTGGAGGGCAGTTGTCCCTAGAAACACAGACCAGGAGGAGGAGGATGCTGGTGGCAGAGGCGCCTTCACTCATGCCATGGGTGGGTTTACGCAGGGAAGGCCTAGAGGGTGGTCCTAATGGCTCTGTTTTGAATCCAGCTGGGCTGATGCTGAGAAAAGGAAGCGTGTGGCCGTGAGACTCTAGATCCACAGCGGCAGCAGCAGTGGCCACTTCCCACGACCTGTACCACTGTCGCTCCAGCCCCAAGGGGACGAGGAGACTGGCCTGTGCCTCCTGACGGGACCATGAGCACAGCCTGGTGCCTCTCCCTGCTCTTCCTCACCCTTCCTGTGGCCCTGGTGGCTGACATAGACCCAGGGGAGAATGAAGTGATGGTGTTGAAGAACTTTAAACCCATCGACGCCTCACACTCCACCGTGAAACAGTGTCTGTGGTTTGCCATGCGACAGTACAACAGAGAGAGTGAGGACAAGTATCTCTTCATGGTGAACAACGTACTGCAGGCCCAGCTGCGGGTAAGGTGTTCTGTCCATGCAGTGGGGCATTTGCGCATGGCAGAGACTGAAGCCAGGCTGAGAGAGTGGGCTGTGGGGAACGTGCTGACCCTCAGAGCACCCATCACTGCAGGGCCCACAGAGCTCTATGGGCTCAGGCCGCTAAGTGCTTTGTACATGTTAACTTACTTAAACCAAACTGCAAGTCAAATGTTAATGTGTTTACTGGGGTTAGGAGACAAACTGAGTGCTGTGAACAGTTTGTAGTGATGCTGTCACAGGACACGTGTAAACCCACCCAGGCAACATGGAATGCGGGGCTGGAGAGAGACACAGACTCCTTTAATTTTTTTCAGTCCAATATTTCTTGAGCAGAAGTGGAGATGTACTGATTTTCTGTTTATAAAAACATGGCTTCGCAAGGCTACCAGTTGCCCAGCTCAGCTGATTTCTTTCTATAAACCTATAGTTGTTCTACTCAATTAAAGACTCAACAGAGAACAAGACAGACTCAGGCCTGCATGGGCTGTGGGCTGAGTAGGTGGGAGGAGCTTTGGGTGGGGAAACCCCAAAGGGTGGGCTATTTTACAGGAGTTTGAGCAGTGAGTATGGGAGGTGTTCTCAGCCTGTCAGGCCCACGTGAATTGTAGCATCTCCAACCCAAGGGAACTGATGGTTCTGGGGATCCAATCCTTTCCCCTAGCCTTTATTGCAATATAGCATGCCCCAGACTCAGGGACAGACAGTGAAATTAGGTCTTGCCCTCAAGGAGGCCCTAAGCCAGAGAAGAGCCTGTGCCCAAGTATCTTGCTGCAGGCAGCTGCTGGGGGTTTCACTTGTATCAGTGTGCAAAGGAATTCAGGCAGTAGGCATCCCCAGGCCTCCCCTAAAGATTCTCCTGGGTGGGGGGTAAGGGAGGAAAGGGGCGAGAGGAAGTCAGAGTTATTTTTGTGTTTGCTAATGCTTTAAAAAAATAAAATAAAACCGTTTCTAGTAAAATTGCAAATTGCTAATTGACAGATCACACATTGTCTGGAATACATTATTGATGTTGAAATCATGCGCAGCAATTGCAAAAAGATTTCGAGCAATGATGAAAACTGTGTCATTCAAGAGAACTCCAGGATGAAAAAGGTAGGTGACAGTGCAACTGTCTGTGACAACCGTGAAGCTCTGAGCTTCAAGCAGAAAATATTGGGGCCCCCCCAACCCTCCCTTTGAGGTCAAGATCATTCCAAAATTTTATTTGATTGCCAGTGAATAGCCCCAGATTGGCCAATTTTGCAGCCTCAGAACAGAGGTCGTGGGGCCACACCACATGGAATCCTTGGGCCTTTTCCCCACGCCTCGTCCTAGGGTCAGGGTGTGGTCAAGGCCACTGTCACCTCAAAGGCCCTGTTGACTATGGCCTTTTGATGCAGGAATATTCACCAACACATATACCCTGGAAATCTGTCCTCTTGGGCACAGACTATCCACCCACTGTTCACAGTTGCTCACTCGTGTACAGGCACAAAAAGAAATTCATTAATTCACTCATATAAACGTGTTGAGCAGCAGGCAGTAGGTCTATTCTGGGTGCTGTAAAGTAGCCATGACTCAGCCAGACAGTGTCTCTGGTGTCCTGGGCTTCCCATCAATTTTTGCTGTGATTATCATGGATATCCACAAAGGTCAGGGAAAATCCAGAGACTCCAACTGAAGGGCTGACTTGGCCCACCCAGGGAGTTTGGCATCAAGCTTACATTTCCGAGTTGGGAAAGATTCCAGATTGTTCACCTGAGTGCTTAGTCTGAGACTGAAGGGGTCCTCTGTAGGAGATAAGCTCTCTTTGATAACTATATTAGCTATTTTTTCTACATAAGGAAGGCGCCAGCCATGTACACCTAAGGTAGCGGGTTTGAATCCAGCCCGGACCCGCCAAACAATAATGACGACTGCAACC